TTACTAAAGAGATAGTCTAGCATATGTCATGAGTGAAAGCTTATCCTGATATCCAATTAAACATTTATTAAAAGGCAGTTTCATTCGAGATCTCGCTGAAATTAATTTTTACAAAACTTAGGTCAAATCCTGAATCAATTCCATAGAAGCTAATAGCGATAACAATAACACTAGTTAATATAAAGGAAGTTTTTATAAGAATATGCGACCATACAGACCATCGCAACACTTGTGCCTATGAATTAATGTAGAATATTTTGAACTTTGTAACTTTCATCCCTGTCATTCAGTTGTAATTAAATTGTTGAGCTAGGATATTTAATACCCGCCTATTTTCACTAAGTTATATACACAAAGAAATTTCTTAAACCTATGGAATTCGACCGAATTCAACACACCGAGCTAGATAACAGTAATAAAGAAATGGATAAATCATATATATACACACAGTTAACAAATAAATAAAGATATTAGCGTCTGTTCCCTCAGCAGAGCTGTTTGCATTAGCGAACGATTTGTTTACCTTTGCTAAACGCAGGTAAATGCCCTCACGGCGATAGGGAATGACCCATATAGGACGCAATTCACTTTGGCGAGTGATATCTTAAAGGTTAGACGTAGTAATAATATATGACAGCCATTTTTCTAGGCAAAGAGATTCGAGAATAGAATTCGGTCAGATAATCTGTTCCGGACCAGCATATCTCAACTAAGATAAGCAATTTCTCAAAGTACAAAATTTGTTGCGTTAATCCCTAAAAGGATTTTGGCGCTAAACAATCTCTCAAAATTTATAACCGATCATACGATTTTCATGGCGGATACCGTCAATGGCAAACATGATTAGTGAACCTATCTAGTTCTGTAAATACATATAACTATCCCCTAATATACACTACATTATATAGAAGTTGGATTTCGTCGCCTTGAAATGACGGTATAAAATAGTTTCGATGAGTCACTACATCGGCGACAATGTCTAATCAAACTACTACGTTGGTTACCTACGTGTTGATGCCTCCCCGAAAGTTTGAGCTTACTGGTTTAACGAACGTCGGAATTGACCAGTGCTACTTCCACATCTGACGTGAGAGTAAGGAGCTGCTAATCGCACACAAGTGGATTCGTGCTCTGAGTGGACGTTATCTACGGAGATTATCATTGGTTCTGAATCGATTCACATACGATCAACCAGCAAATATCGAAGGCGTCACGTATCCCTTTACCTGTCTTTGGACCTCTGTTTTGCTGCGGATAGGTGTTGTTGTTGTGTATTATCGTGTTTTAAGAGCGTGACAGGAAGTACCAGTTTCGGGTGCCTTTCGTCATAAGGACTAGTACCACTGCGGGATCCACGGCAGTGGATTCGGTTCTTGCCGGGGAGACATCGCTGGCTAATTCGGTCTTCTAGAAGTTGAGTTTTTTTTCTAAAAGTTGTAATTGGCTGCTTCGAGCTCAATTGCTGCTGCTTCGAGGGCTGCCTTACATTCATCGTCCCAGCGGGAGGCGACCGATGCTACAGAAGCCACGCTTCCAGCCGACGGGGGAGCAGACCCGAAAGAGATCTCGGAGCCACTGGAACAGCAACGAATTATTATTACACGCGGAGACTCATAGGAAGATACTTTTTGTTTCGGGAACTGTCACATACGTATTCTTTTCCAATAACTCATCCAAGCGTTGAGTAATGATGAATTTATTAGTTTCGAAACCTGTTTTATGCTAAATTACAAATGTAGTTTTCTTATTCATTGTCCCCAGATTGTAAATAAGACCATTGTGCCGCTTCTCTGAATACCTGCTATCCATATTTTTTCGTCCGTTTAATTAACCGTCAGGGTATCACCGATCGATATACTTTGCTATCATTTATCGATAACCTTAATGGTAGGTTATTCAGAGCTTGATTCGACTATGCCTGTATAACTAACTATATGACCACCACAAGGTTCCGCTTGTTGGGTTGCGTAATCAAACAGGAATTAGACAGGAGCGTTTCTGTGCGTGTGTGTGTGTGTATGTGTGAATGTGTCTGTGTGTGTGTTTGTGCCTGTGTCTCTGTGCATGGTTTCCTGATACCAACCAGATCACAGGTATATAGCTGGTCAGAAATCTGTATTTCAAGCGATAAAAGCCTCCCCAGCAATGGTTCGGTAACGGAAGTACTCATTTTGTCGTGTCCAAATATTTCTGGTCGCAACAAAAGCATTATTGCTACTGAGGCAGCTTTTTAAGCAAGCGCTCTTTATTATCGTTATTACGATTACCAATACGATTATCAAAACCCATCAACAACAACACCAGCAACAACGTACTAAACGTTAGCTCTGATATCTATAATAGGACATGTCTGCCTCAACTGAAAAGATCGAATGTCGGAAGAATTTAGAAATAAGTATCTTAAATTACTCATGAGTCGTGCAGTAAGGGCCCTGTTTAGCATTTAGTTTTCCAGTGATCAATAATAATAATGATAGTCATAAAGGTGCCTTTGATAAAATGCTGCTGAAGTAAACACTTTCAAGTTTTCAATTTGTCAAGCGCATTTTTGTTCGGTCAAAATTATTCGATACAAATCATCATATTTAAACCTGACGTAAGGTATTTATATCTGGATTCAATCATTGGAAAATAAGAACTTATCTGTATTGTATAAATATACAAATTCTACATACAGATAAGTTTAATAATATATATATATATATATATATATATATTGCTAGAATCGGTGCATCGAACATTGCATTTTGTCTAATATGGTGACGACACGAGTTATCGTATCATTTGACATTGTTCCAGTGTACATCCTCATTTTAAAATTACACCTCAACTATAGTCTTTCAACGAGTTTATGCTGTACGTGTTCGACGAAGGTGTACAAGTAGATAATAGAATTACAAATATCGTTAACCTTTTTTAAGAAATAAATTTTCACATATTCTCATATTTGTAACTCTTTTTATATATAAAAAATTATATTGCACACGATAGCGTCTAAGTGAACTGTCAGCATTATGTGGTTGTTAAAGTGTGAAGATCTCAGCTCTCTGTGGAAGTATTTAGCCACCAAACTTCGGGACGCAATATAGCGTAAATCTCTAAAACAAGTTTTCAATAAGCGTAAACAATATACGCGTCTGAGCAGAGATCTGACCAAGTTATTGTACGTGTCCCAATGAAGCGTCTCATGAATTGTATGTTATAAAAATTTCAAACTCCCTGGTTGGACTTGTCGTTGTCTCGAAGAGCCCATGAAGCTTAGAGCCGTCCATACGCAAGCTATCCGCTACAGTGTGCTGTCATTTCGTTATGCGGTACAAGAAAGATATGGACTCCTGAATACGAATCACACTCTTATTGACTTCAGGTGTTTTTTTTACACATTTAAACCAGTCTGTAACCAGCACCTGATTAGTTCGTTTGGACAAAGTCAAGTGATAAAATCAAATCTATGGTTGGTATGCAGAACCCACACCTGACCCGTGCTTTTTTCACCTTTATCAAGCCCCGGAACAAGTTTACGTAACGCTTGTAGCTTAGTCAGAGCTCAAAGATGTACGTTTAATAGGAATGTAGCATTCTATCATAATGACTAAAACCAGTGATCTGATTTAGATCGAATAACTGTAGAGTATAACACTTCCTATATAACCTAATAATTGTTAAAAATAATGTCCATTCAAATCTGTGTGATGCTGTTCCTTTGCTGCTTAAAAACTATACTAACCAGTTTACGGTGCCAACACCTGGTTGAGTGCTAGCTGCTTGAATTACAGGCTCGTTGTTTCCTGTCAGTACAACGTATTGCTGGTGCCGATTTTCCATTGCCTGTGGAGATGAACCCGATGCCAGACTCGACTCTAGCACAGGCAGCGCTGGTATAGAAGCCTCAATTTGGCAGGACGTCGGCTCAAGATGGCATGCCGCATGTTCTAATTGACCTGATTCTATGCGGACACCCGATGCGTCTAGATGCTGGTGATTCGCAGCTTGCACAGCCAGGCCATTTTGTTCTAGATGGTGTGTCACCTCCAACGAGGTGGCATCCAATGGACTAGCACGTTGTTGCTCCAAATGTGTCCTGTCCATCGACGTTTCTGACCTCACCTTGTTTCCAGACATCAGACTGGCTCCGTCTTCAGAAGAATCATGACTCGGTGACCGATCTATTGAGAGCGAAACATGATCTGTCTGTTCATCTAAACCGATTAGAGTAGTTTGCTCATCAAGGTGGTGGTCAATTGGCTGGTGAGGTGAGGAACCTCCAGCACTCGTTGGTGGAGACAAGCACCCCATGCTCGCCGCGCTGTTGCAGACACCACCTCCTCCTCCGTCTGACGTTACCAGAGATGCACCGTTACCAACCTTAGTAACACGTCCGGCCATATTCTGGACGACAGCTCTAGGGAGGATTAGCCTGGTCCCGGACGTATTTTCGTGACTAGAAGCGCCATGCGGGGTGGAAATCTGCGCCGGCTGCACCGAATGATCGAGCCGATCGCCCGTCGAAGTGCAGATGACCTCAGTGCTTGTGCTAATCGATGTTGAGCCTGTCGTTGAGGAAACGGTACTGATTGTTGTTGTAGTTGCCATAGCACATTGAGTAGACGACGAAGGTGAAGCATCATTGGTGAAACAACAATTATCCCACCAAACGTCACCAGTTATCCCAGCGTCGTCGGTTTCGCTTACTCCACTCGATGCCGGAGCAGCCACAAGTTCCACTGGAAAAATAAACAACAACGTTATGATAAAGATCCAAAAGTAGCAATGTCAGCTATGCAGAGTAAGTTGGCGAATATAATTTCAATATATCCGTACTTTAGTAATATTGAAATAAAAAATCACATAGATTAGAGCAGTGAAACGATATTGGTTGATCTGCCCTTTCCGTGCTGGCAGACCCTGTTCGACCATTTGTTTGATGGCTTTCACTTGTAGTGTTCATACAATAAAATCAACCTGCGATACTTCCGCAATTATCACGTAGTCGATTGACCTGCTGTTCATTCAACGTTCGTAAATCACAGTTCAAAATGACCTGAGTTTAAGCTATGGTTGCGCTTTTGCTTCGTTTATGGTAAACTGCCACAGATACCTATACTCTGTGCTAACGTACTATAAGTTCGCATTAAGCTCCACTCACTTTATACCTCCGGGTCTGTCGAGTACCGGTAGTTCCTACAGTTAGGTGCCGGGGAGCAGCAATTTAAATGCGACTCAGTAGTCTTTTTGCGCCTTTCACTACAGTTGCGTCAACATGTAGCACTACCGAATGCCGGCCTTGTAATTGCATCTTTCTATGTATGGACCCCTAGTTAGCAAATCCAACCTAACCTAAGCCAGTATAACAATAGCTCCGCGACACGCGGCATAGTGTACGCCGAAGTAGACAATTTTCGGTCACGAATACCGCGAACACCGTGATTACGGTGTTTGCACCAGCATGCCGCAAAAAAAACTGCTATATACACTACAACACATTTGTACGCCAGCTTTGATTACACGTTTAAAGGTTGTGTAATGTGTTTGAAAGTATTGCGTCTTCGGACTCGCTGCAAATCCACCGGATCAATGCAAAAGACGCGCGCCTTACCCAACGTTCTGTGTTCCTTTTGCAACGACTGTATTGCAAGTACTGATAATATGGCTTGATTTGCACCAATTGTTACTCATCGCAGATGCGAGTGCGCCAAGGCTATGCGTTTTTCGACTTCGGCGGATTTGGCAAAAAACAAATCGCTTTGCAACGAGGAAAGTAAGCCATTCTCTTATACCGCCTCGATAAAGAGAAAAAAAAGTCCTTAAAAACTAGATACAGTAGTCGAAACAATGGCTGTAAGTCCTTGACATCTTCTGCAACAAAACTTATCGCCATTCGGACCTGGAAACATCCGACGAAGAATATAAAATTCAAAAAGCTCACTAGCTACTTATGTGTAATCGTATCGCACAAGCATGTACTTCGGAAATTCTCAGCAAAAACTGCTTGGAGTTGAGGTTACTTGATGTAAGTTCTTTTTGCTGGTGGCAGCAATAGCTCGAAAAATCGAATATAATCGCAACTACATCCTAGCGCCTAATGGATGTGTGCCGTCTTCCGAGTCGTCCAGGGATCCCTATATCTCGTTACCAGGCGCCCAGTACCAACAAGCATGAGTCGACTGGAAGACCAAACTTTAACGGAGACAAGCGATTTCGTAACAACGCCGTCGAATGCGGATCGACGCAGGCGAGAAAAAACCATTTTATAGTTAAAAAAGCATTTTATAGTTCACTTAAAAACTCATGTACCCTTTAGTACAATTGGATTCTTCGTGTCCTAAGGGATATACTGTACTATCCGTTCTGCAGTCATTTGTGCCAAGGATCGTCAGAGAATCGAGATTCAGTTAACCTATTTCTGATAGCAGTGCTCTCCAAGACAATCGCGCGTCGGCGTGTGTTATTAGCTTAAATATAATTCCACAATAATATTCTTATTTGTGTGATGTGGAGTTATTTTTTAAGATATTAGATTTTGTCTTTCCACAGCTGTAATACAGCAGTAGATGGACGACGTCTAACTACTGTTGTTCTTTCTGCATGTCTTCATCCAGACTGGCAGACAGACACCTGCTCGACGATTCGTCACAACGGTTTTTTCTCGAAATATTGATCCAATATATTGGTGATAGTTCTAGAATGCTCAAAACGTGCCCTACGTGGCTATATGAACTCGTCTAAAATGACGCCTAGATTTAACCTACAACAGCGTCTTTACTCTGTCGATGGCTCACTGCCACTCTCCGCATACAAGTGCAATGCAGTCTCATTATATCTTTCTGATCATCTGACCAACCCTTCGTAAAATAAGGGCCGGCAATATTGAATCGGGTAGTCGATAATGGAAGGTTGCTAGATTTAATCTATTACCTATTTGCATTCATTCGTTGCTATTTGTTTCGACAACCCTCTACTACTTAACATGCAAAAGTTCTAAGAAAACTATATGAATCATATCAAGGCTACGTGCCTTCAATGACAAGCAAAGAGATACATCTCTATGAATACGATTCACACAAATAAATCGTGCTTTTAACCTCGCTAAGACCAGCAATCTGTCGTTTTCCCTTTTTCACAAGAGCTAACACTAATAATAATAATAACAATAGACAAATTATTCTATGATTTCCGCAAACGGAACATTAAAATAAGGCCAGATGAGCACAGAAAAGTGGAGCACGAGCTCCGGTAGAGTTTAAGGCCAGCCCCACCCAGCCGAAGATTGGTCCCTTGATGTTGTAGTGGATAGGCCTATCCTGATTCGGGTGAACGTGACGGGGTCAAACAGAAGCAGAGGGCGAAGCGGATCTGACCTTCACTTCCAAGTGTGTGCTCTACCCCGAGACAGCTGAGTAACCACCGTTGCGTAAACCAATGCATGTACATCTGGTATGCTCATTTCATATTGGCGCTTGGCACCACGCCATTTGTCATAACGAATCAACCAGCGGATCAGTTTGATACAATGGTTGTCACCAATTTAAGAGAGCCTTGCTTTCCAATTTCCTAGATACATAATCATCGTGCCACAGCTTAATCACACGAATAGACTTTATAAAATATATAGGTAGAGGAAATTATCGATTTGCAAATATTAAGATACCAACATTAGCACAATTTATACCTACAATTCAAAAACTGGCTTTATTTGAAAACCATATAATATTTTAATAAAAGCTTCCCGGATACTTGACATTGTTAACAACAAAAACATTTCGATAACATATGCTTCAATCTTAATAAAGCATCCGACGAAGCCACTCTTTTTAATATCATTAAGGAGAAATGACGCACACAAATACGGGCATTGTGTCTTTTAGCTGAATAAAAAAGAACCACCCGGTCAAAAAAAAATCCGCAATGACGCAACGGTTCAGTCTACCCATATCGAGTGCCCTAGGATATAATTTTTGCCCTTCTGATTTTTGGTTCACGAGAAATATTAAACTAGGGGTGTTTCATATAAACTCCGTCTTTGGCACGAAAAAACTTGATACGAAAATTTATGATACAGCGAGCCAATGCTCTCGATAAACTTTCAGACGACGTATTAACAATTAAGTGTTCATATCAGATCCAGAAAATGCCGTTTCGTGTGCTGAGTACTTCCCATATTTTGAAAGGAATCCCTGAAAAAAAATCCGTTTCCAGTTTTATTAAGGCGTTATGATGTCCCCCCATCTTTATGTTCGCTCATGTGTAATAAATTGTGGCGTCGTGTTTACCCACAATCAATCAAGCTGCTTCCACTATAAGGTGACGCCGAACCTGAACTCATCTTGAAACAAAGTAGTATCATTTCATACAAATGCTCAAGTGATAGAAAGGTTACGCGTTATACATAATTTTTTTGACACTTACGTAAATAATCTTCATAGGGCCAATTGTTTTTATCTCTTAAGTATTAAGGATGAGGTATTCGTTCGTTTTAGAATTGCTAAATAGTGCCAGCTATATCAAAGCATTAACTTATGCACCCTGTAAACTAATTTGCTTTTGTCTCAAATTTTTGAAGCTTTTCGTATGGGCGGAGTTGGTAAAAATGATCACACAGGCCGCATGGCCAAATTGTTATTCGTTTACTTAAAGGAGTTTTGGCTTGATTCAACATTATGAGAAGCTGATTTCATATAGATTTTATATAGAGAAGACTACGTTGTACGTCATTATTTGACGTAAAATAAGCGAGCGATATTTCCGAATTTCAGTTTAGAAGGAATAAGTTAATATACTAGGCCCAAACGCAGGTAGCACTTACCAGTAGCCGTCGTTGCACCCGCCTGTGTTGGGTCCTGAGTAGCATCCTGACTGGGAGGTTCTACTTGGTGCAAGGTAATTAGTGGATGAGCATTTGCCGATTGAAGTAGAGCAGCAGCTGTTGAAGGCACTGCACACGTTTCCAGGGAGCCTACAGCTCCCTCGAGTAACGGAACCTCACCTGTTGGTGCCTGCTGGACGATTGCCTAAATAAGACCATGAACCGCCAATAATGCACGTGCAGTATATTAAGCAAGTGTCAACCCTGTAATGTTACCCCCACCTGTCCAATAATCAACAAATATTTTTCAAAAACCTTACCTCAAATACCCCGTCGGCACTTGTGGTAACCTCAACCACCTCCAGTTGCTCAAAATTATGTAATTGTTGTAACTGCTGAAGCTGGTGTAACTCGAGGGAGTCTCCCTCGGATAGGATCCATGACAAGTCAACTGCCTTCAAAGCTCCGCAACAGTCGAGCGTTGCTAGACTGCTCATTGCTTGCTCCATCTCCTGACCTGTCAGATACGTTACATATCAATTTGTACAAAACAGATATCAATTAACGTGCCTAAAATAAATCCATGATAGTTAGGCGGGAAATTTTAAAAGTCGTAACAAATTTGCTCACAGACTCTTATAGTCCCCATTTCTTCATCTTTATTTTCGTCAACCGACGACTTACTTAGTTTACTGGGATACCTAATCATAACATTCTTTTTAAATCTATCGGTTACCATTTTAGTAAAATGTTGAGGTGTGTATACAAAGTATTATCAAGGATCGTCAGTCCAGGCATTCTACAGTCATTACGGAGATGTCGATCAATAACAAAATCTACTTTCCAGATATCTACATCAACCAGCGAGTCGGAGACCTGCTGTTTTTATAGGCAAATATTAATAAAGCAGAAAAATTGTGAAATCCGTTGAATTATTAATTTGCATTTTCCTAGTCGCATCCTGTACTGTATTTTTGGTAGACCCAAATATCTGTGTTTGTAGGCTTGAACCTTTTCATTGAATGCTCGATATTTTAGACGAGCTAACTTGCGTATGCGGTCTCTAGTTGTACATTTAACATTTCAGTAATTGCTAAAAAGTGGTTTCACGGATCTCTGCTTCTCTACACAAGAGGTCAACGATCGTTTTCATTGTATACAAGTGTTTGGAAACTGTAGCCCATTACTGATTGGCTGGAAACATTTCTAGTCACGTTTCTGTTCTTCTTCTATTTATTTATAACATCATGAAAACAACTAACTCCTTGAAATAAGCAGCCAGCGTATTATTGTACGAGTATGGGTCCAGCCATAAGTTCGCAGCTACCTATGTGTTTAAGTGGTCCAGTGAACGAAGCAAGCATGTTGCTAGTCAACGCAAAGAAAATTACATTAGGGTTAACGATTACAGTACTGTCTATGAAAAACCGATGCATGGTGGAAAAATCTTACATTGTACAGGCGGATAGAACGTTGAAGAAGTGTGAGCAATCACCGTAACAATAACAACGAAATGTATGTACAAGATAGCAAAAGACATCATACAAAAAGCCGAAGTTAATAACGCATAGTTATTCAGTAACAAACAAAATGCTGTTGTATTTCAGGGCAGAATCCGTATCTACCAGAAACAAAGCTTTTTATTGATTTGATGTAATTGCCGCAACCATAACGTATCGTAATGAGTAAACTCTCTCTGAGGATACTCACTCTGAATTGTTGGCTCAGCTTCAATGACAAGTTGATGTTGTTGTGTAGATTGATTTAGCTCTGACTGCCCCTGCTGTAAGGGTGTAAGGTGCATCTGTTGTTGTTGTTGTTGAAGTTGCTGTTGTACGTAGTTTACTATGCCACTAAGGTTGACCAACTGTTGTTGCGGTTTCTGGCTAAGAATGGTCGAAGGCGAATGAACGGACGCGGGTGCGAAGTTACAGAGTCCACTGGCTTGCGCCGACGCCTGAGAGCCAGCACCTTGTAGTGAAGGAAATGAGGGAAGAGGAGAGATTGTTGTTGCTGACGAAATTGAATCGGATCCGATGACAGACGATGCTGGCGTTAGCGAAGGGGATTTCGTGAGGACGTCTTGCATAACCACACCATTGCTAGGAGCGCGTACAATATGAGCGCCTTCCTTCTAGAAAAGGAGAGCGGACAAATTGTCAATTAGCAGAAATGCAATGGGATCCAAATACATCTAAGCTTTGTTTTCAAATTTCGCTCAACTGTCGTCACAACAGGACTTATCCGCGAGAGAAAGCTCTCTTCATCTTCAGATACACAAAAAAGGCCAGTAGAAGTCCTTTCACAGAACAGGTACGCCTTTAATTAGCAAATTACTATTTTGCGGGCTTTTGCAGAGATTTGTACAATTCGGCATTGGGATTATGTCGTGAAGTGTTTAATGATGCTTTAAGCATCGCTGGTGTGTATAGGACGGTAGGTGGCTTAATTTCTATATGCCTCTTGAAACCGCCTATTAATTAGATTGTACTGAAAATATCTCCTTGATTAAAACTCTCTCATGAGCCTTAAATAATTCGTCCTTCTTTTATATATTGCTCGTTCTAATGTCAATAAAATTCTATTGTGTTCTTGAATTGATTATGTTCTCCTATGATATTGACTCACCCTTTGAATGAGCTGAACTACCTTTGGCGAAATACCGAGTGTAGTACCCCGAAATTCGATAGATTTTTTCTTGGCGTGAGGCCGACCTGTGAGGGTGCCTCCCGCACTTGCACTACCATTAGGTGGAGCTTTCCGCTTCTTAAATGAACCGTCTCCAGCCAGCGATCCTGCTTCCGGGTCTAACCGCCAAAAGCCACCTTTTCCTGGCTCATCCTTGCGCCGTGGGACTTTGATGAAGCATTTGTTTAGTGAGAGGTTATGCCGAATTGAGTTCTGAAGTCAAATAAAAAGGACGTCTTGTTAGAAACGGCCTCATTTGCTCTGACATGTTTAAAACGTTTCATTGCTTTCTTATATCGTGTCACATTTCCAATTTGGATTAGATACCTAGAAACTTAATTCGAAAGTCCTTTCCTTCCTTATGAAGCGTCTTAATTATTTATCTATAAGTTGCTATCTTTGCTTTAAAAAATTAAATGGAATCACAGTTTGTTAGGTTGAAATTGATAGATACGAACTAAAACATTTTAACATATATACTCAATGTTTCATCTTTGTGTTTGCTTACCAGACCATTCGATACGTTTTGGAAACGGTAAATAAGGATATTATATATATATATATATATATATATATATAATGTTTTCGCTTCGGATGGCTAAGTACGCCACTAACCTGCCATCCGGGGTCCGCTGTCCGATAATATTTAAAGTTTTCACGTATCCACGCATAAATTGCAGATAGAGTCATCTTATTGGCATTCGCCTGTTTTCGCAGGGAAACAATTGTCGATTATTGTAAATTCGGCATATGTTTAAATTCACGTTTATGTACGCTCTCTTTACAATGTTCCCCTCTTATTGAATTCTTTTTTATTTGTAATTGAATAAAAAAAGCATCTTTCTGCATGTAATATACAACTAACTGGACTACAGTCGCACGGTACTTCATTATAGTCTTTCTATGCCTCCGTATCGAAACAGTTAAAAAGACGCTATCTCTTCGGTTATGTATGTCGTCGTATTGTCAGTGCTTCATTGTACAATAACTCTTAAAAGCAACATGTATACAACATTGTACAGCATCAAAGATCGCGTACCTGCATCGCCATACAGATGAGCGTCGCGTATGAAAATGGTGGTTTCACTGAATCGTCGTTGGCAAAGTCTATTGCTACGGGTGGGGGTCGCTTCTTAGAATAGCTTACGTTGCCATTTGTACCCATACTTGTACCTGAGTTACTGCTACCATTACAATTGCTATTCGACGAAGCTGGACTGGCGGTTGATCGTTGGCAGCTGGATATCAGATTGGCAATACTCTTGCAGGTGCCAGCTGAGGATTCGCTCGGCGTTTGTCGACGACCGCATGGCGAAGCCACGTCAGATGCGACGGGGGATACTTCGAACGGAATCTGTAAAAACCGAATTGTGCATTCCAAAGGACAGAAGTAACCTTTAAAATCAATCATATATATTTTCAGACGTTCACAGCGTTCCGATCTCTATTTTCCGCTTTTATTTTTATAGGATTTTTTAAATGGTTCTTAACCGACCATTTGTGTGACAAATTACAGTTAAGTTTATGGACACCACATTTACTTTTTGTTGACAGAAAGAATACATGCTGGGTAAACGTATCATCACCCTCTCATCGGCTTGAAGTCAAATAGAGTGAATCGAACCTAGGTAAAAAGAGTCCCAGAAAAAGGTATCTAAAACCGCCGATATAAAAATAAAAAATCTTACCGGACTTGCTGGTGGTGTTGGCGGCGTAGGGGATGAGGATCCTATGCGAGCCATGATGTTCAAGTTCTGCAGCCAGGCAAGACTCGTCAGGGCATCATCCGCGCACCCAACAGTTGCGGGCCCAGGCAGCTCAGCATTCATCAGCATCGTCGTTGCTAATGCCATGCTTCTGCCTCCCGTAAGACAGGAGGAGACGTCTCGATTAATCGACTTTAATAGCCGCTTTGGCCAATGATGTGAATCCAACGGTAGAAACGGCACAACTTATATCGTTACTTATAAAGGCAGGTACGTCACTGTTAAAACAAGTGGGCAACACAAATTAAATTTTTTTTTTAATTAGCAAATAGAAAGCTATTCTATATATAATTTTTCGAAGTCGAAACTGGCCAAAAAAACTTTCTTCAACTTTATACTACACAATACGTATTTTCTTGTGACGCATATTCTATGTTGCCTCAATAAGCCTTCACGAGGAAGCGTTAGAAGGGTTCTAGATTGCGACGTAGTGAGTGTGTTAAAAAAAATCTTGGAAACAAGAAGGCGATCTAGCATGTGATTAGTTTGCACGATAAGATGGCATTCTCTTTTTATCGCCCCAATGAAAAGCGATGACCAATCATTTATCAGTAAAGCCCTAATTTACAATTGATCAAAAAGCGAGGTGTACCTTCGCCATCTTTCTCCCTTATATACCGACGAGTTCCAAATAAGCAAGGGAAGTAAAAAGTTCTAACCTACGTCTCAGGTTTGTCCGCAATCATGGTATGTCGCCTGAGAACACGTACCTAACCAACGATGAGCGGTACATTCTCATAGCGCGTTTTAAAAACCGATTTAATTCGGTCCAGTTTTTCAAGCTGAGCCAACAATAAATATTCCCACAGTACCTGGATTCCGTAAGAAGTCACCGATGCCATTTTATCTTCGAACGGGTCAACACCATTAGTAAGGAACGTCTGAAAAAAGCTCGTACACCCACGCGTGTCACCATCATTCAGCCTACTCTGTTGGTGATGTGCTCTGCAAAGGCTTGGCCGTTCATAAATGAAATCATGCCCAAGTGCTTGAAGTTGGTTACGTACTTCAAAGCTCTTCTGCCTACATGAAGGATGTTGATAGCAGCAAGGTGACCTTCGCGGCGAAACATCATGATCTCCGTCTTGTCTATATTGATCATAATGTTTTACTCACTTATAACAAAGGTTTTGCGAAAGCTCGCTGAATATGAAACCAACTCCTTCCAAAGACTATAAGATCATTAGCATAAACCAGCGTTTTTATGTTTTCTGCTGGGTTTTAAACAAGGAAAAGCAGTGGGCTCAGATTATGACCCTTTGTTGCGCCAGTCAATTAGTTCAACGGTCCGAACTGGACCATTCGATCATCTATGCTAACCCAATTTTCTTGTAAAGTTTTTATGAGCAGATGCGCCATGCTCTGAGAAACTCTGTATTGTGCGAGCTTTACTGAAATCTCTTCTCGGCACGCCAGATCAAATGTCTATTTAAAACCCATGAACACGGCGCAGAACGCCTGTTTCGATCGATGACAGACAGAATACATTTGCTAATGTAAGCGCCTTGCACGAAATCCGTGCTGTTCAATCAGGATACATGGACAAGCTCCCAGAAATCTAATCAGACGTCGTGTGATGAGATACGCAAGATGCTCGTAGCCACAGCTGTTTCTCTGAATTGTCCTTCCTGAAAATATGTTGTCCGGATTACCTTTTCCTTGGATATGACATTTAAGTGGGCGTCACTCTGTGTCGTTGGCAAGCGTCGATGTTGTAAGCAGCCACTGGATAGACTTCTTTGTCGGCCGTACTCCTCAAGCGTTTATTGCGGACCAGGTCTGGTTCTACTGGCTTGTTCAATCAAAGCTACTCCGTTGAACGCAAAGCCTTAAGCACAGAGAATTTCGATCCCGGCATTTCGCGGATCAAGGATGTTCATTCATTTCACACACCGCCATTTGGAGTACTCAATTAGCACCATGAAACTAATTGGACATGATACTGATCCCTTCTTGTGTAGTCATTTATCTAGTTTTCTTCCTACTCGTAACACTAACTTGTTCTCTTGCAGCGGAAGGTACTGTCAGCTATCTTTTCAGGGCAGTTATAGAACAGTTTCATTGCTGGGTGACGCCTAGTCGGTTTTCTTGTCTGGCACAATGTAGCAGAAATCAGCTTACAACTCGTATTCAAGCACGGACGACGTGATGCGACCTCGGATAAGTTGCAGACAATATTAGCACTTTAGTAAAAATCTTGGTATAAATATCGATGTCTAAGTAGCGTGAAATAGGGAACAGAGTTCTTACTTTACGACTGAGTTAGCTTAAATGCAAAATCCTAGGTAGGTTAACGTTTCCTCATTTCGGCGAGTTGTTTCTCGCCAGAGAAGCGGTTCGGCTCCGACAGGTATATCTCAAAGTGCACCGCTTGCTTAGTAGATTGTTCTTTCTGATCTCACTGAGTTCTTCCCGTTGGCGAGTTCGACGCGATCATGTCAGTTACCGATTTAACCTCCAACGTAGGCGTGTCACCTCCGGAAAATAGACGGTTTCTGGAATCACTGAGCAGATTCAGTAATGCGCCCATACAAGAGTCGCTCGGGAGGGCTTGTTACCCCTTGTATTTAGCTTGCTGCCAATTACTAAAGAAAAGCCATACTAACATATTTTTGCCTTAGAACAAGTTTGGTAATGCAGGTATTTAAAAAAAAGACCAGCGTCTAAAAGGCAAAAACATTGTTTGCGTACCTTCACAGACATTAAATAAGTAGTATAACAAAATCTGCTTTCGTTTGTAGCGAACGTAAGTACGAGAAAAAATATTTCTATGAAATCTCCCTATCCTAAATTTTTTTAAACGTCTTAGAAGTTTACCCATTAGAGAATAATGGAAACTGAAACAGCTCTTCATCTGCCATAGTGCTTTATATCTCTGGGTTTTCAGCTCCTTCAATAATCGCTACTGTAATCTATGGTCCGGCTAATTTTGGCCGCTGTAGGCACAGTATTGTAGATCGGGATAGGCGTTGGTGGTGTAAAAAATCGTAACGTCCCGTCTCACAATATTATTATGGATTACTTTTGATGCTCGATGTCCTGACAGCATGGCGCGAGCACTGTTATGACTAGATCCCAGCTTGGGTTCTTTTATTGGAAAATTCAGGCAAATCGTCTTTCGTCATATTGTGGTGAATTGTAACTGATAACTGCGGATAGAGATTACTTCGGTGCGACAGTATGTTGATAACACAGAAATTACATCTTACATCGTTGGCGATCGTACCAAAAGATAATGCTCCTTCCGTGAGTGCTTCTAATCTGCATTATATTTGGACTTTTTAGGCCAAAACCTGCACACCTGCTATAAAGGGTGCAGTAAAGGCGACATTCCAGTGGCACTTAGGACAGGTGCGCTTTTTAGAGCTTTTTGAGATACGAGAATATTGCGTGATCACAATTTGGACACAACCGAGTTCCTACTCTAAAACGCACAGCTTTCGGAAAATGACACTCTTGTGACGTGTCGAGCAGCGTCTTGTCCGACCCTATTTTGCATTCTATGGATGAAAGATTGGCCTCAGTCATTCCAACTACGATTCAAAGCAACAGATTACGCATATCGTTTGAAGAAACTGTCTCCAAGGACTACGACCGTTATTTTCATTGCTATTGAATCCAACAACTTACATAACCGATCAGTTCGCACGCACGTGCTTGATTCAGGTACACAAAATGCACATGTAGTTGTATTTACGGCGTGAGGTAGATAGCCTTAAACCGTATATATATATATATATATCATGACTAGTGTGCTTTTGATACACCATGACAAAGCGTTGCTTGGAGTCATTAAGCAAGCTACAGCCTACAGCGAAGACTGAAGGAAAGTAAACTACAATATTTTACAATCGGGAACCCAATCGGATCCGGATATATAATACTTAAAAACAAAGCATTCGCTCGCCATAAAGTATTCAAATCGTAGAAATCTTTAACATTCAGTGTCAGCTATGCAGGACTTTGAGGAGCAGCTATTTGGCGCGGAATAAGAACCTAGAACACCAATACATCAACGTGTCGCGTATATATGGTCGTTATTGGCTTTTACATACGTATAACGGGTCGCAATCTTTCTATTTAGGTGTTTAGAAAAGGCAGCGGGATAGGGGAGCAGCTATTATTCCTATTCAGCTCATTGACTCACTTTTAAGCAGTCGGCGTATAAAACCTCTGGGCCTGTGGTGTCCTGCTTGAAATGAGGCTGGCCAACGCTCTGTCTGTAACAGGGTCAATTTTTCCGTTCTAAAGTTAGCTTTACCTCTACTCAAGCGATATGCTTCTTTTTCGCAGCCCAAATAACTAGAACTTATTTACTACCCATTTAACTAGAATTAACAATTTGATATTTACCAGAATTAATACGTTTTATCTACAATGGTCCAATCCAGCACGCTTCCTCCAAATACTTGCTTAAAAGTGCCTAGAAAATGACCGAATCACGCTTCAATATAATTTATTGAACCCTTTCTTGTACCGTTACGAATTGCCTATATATTATTTGAACCCACTTTACTTTTCAGAGTGCATCCGAAAATCTAACAATAGGCAATGATTATCGCTTGCGCTGTCCCAGTTGCCCTATTCGGCCTCTTCGCTCGCATCGGTGGTTATCGATTTAGACAACTAGTCCGAAAGTTGATTTTTTTGTGATCACGGGTACGTGCGGTGTAATTAAATTTTCTGTGAATATCAAACATATACACGATAATATGACGGCTACAACGATCTGTGCCTTATACATAACCACACGATTTTCGGCACATATACTTCTGACACAAGACTTAACCTTAGTTACTAGTCGTTACGGACTATAATTATCATCGGATCTGAGTTAGCTTCGTCTGTTGCCTGGCAAACTGGAGACTCGCGTATGTAACCCCTGCCCTGCCCTACCGGGCAAAACTGCCCTTTCTATCCCGGCAGGAGCGAGGGAAAAAATGAGCTCGACAACACACAGATCCGAGAGTTCGGTCCGCGAAGGAAGCTGGCAGGCCATTGGTCGAGCGCAGACCAATGGCCAATGAGTTTTCCAGGGGCCCCGCCCCTTTCACAATAGGTGCACTCTCCTGCTCCTAAAATAACGCGCTCTACAGCTATTATCTCTCTCTCTCTCTCTCTCGCCAGAGTACACTCGCATGCTAAGGCTCAAGCTCCAGCTAAACTGTTAGCCCTACTTTTATCGGCCGCCAGGCGGTTCTCGCAGGACAGGTATGAT